GTCGACCATCATCACTTGCCGCTGCACTGTCACAAACTTCTCTAGCTCACCGAAAACAATGGTATCACCATACACATTACATACCACACTATATGTCTATGTGTGTGACTGTGTTGCTTACTTCTTCTACTGCAGGGGTCCCCAAACTTTTTCCTGCAAGGGCCACATAGCTGTTCCTTTCTCTGGTCGGGGGCTGGTCTTAGTTTTTGGAGAAAGAAACCTTACAAAATTCTTGTCGACGGGGGGCGGGGCTGTGTTCTGTTCTGTCTTTGAAACTGCGGGGGTGGGGGGGGGGGAAGCGACGACACATTCGTGCTTTTAGATAGATTTTTACCCAGAATGCAAATGGAAAAAACCGTGAGTGAAACGGTGACTGGGACTGACTGGTATATATTCCATTGAGGGAAAGTTAGTTTCACATCTGCTCAAGAACCCCCCTGGTGGTTGAAGAAAAATCCACATATAAACCGGAAAATACAATATATGAAAAAAAAAAACACTGAATGCTCTCTGGTATGAGGAGGCGGGCCGGATCCGGCATTGTTCAGGGGGCCGGACCAAATGACGGGGCGGGGCCGCAGGTTGGGGGCCTCTGTTCTTCTGGGTTGAACAGGGAGCATGTTGATTAGCTTGAGCGCTGCTGTCACCTAGTGATTGGAGGCCTTGCAGCCATTCTTTGTTTCTCAGGAAGACAGACTTCCTCTGAGTTTACGATTGTCTGGACAAACTGCTTAGGAGTACGTTTACTGACTCTGTATGTTTTAAATCTCTCATGTGTCTGAAGTAAGGATTCACTGATTGCTTAACAGTGCAAATATTCAGTTATAGTTTACTGCTTGGTAATGTTTAGAATATTTCTTTTATTTTATAGGGCCAGCAGCAACGTAAACCAATTATATATTTAAGTCCTGTCTCCCTTTTTAGACGTATAAATTACAAGTGAAGGTCTGACGTAAATAAATATGTAATAGTCTGTTATGGTTATGAAGCCAAGCATGCAGCTGCAATAAAATTTGTGATTGATGTAACAGTCTTAAACATTAAACAATAAATCATTTTCCCCTTCCTAGTGCTTAGCTGACCAGTACTACAGTTTGTTTTAAAATAAAAGCTTGTATGAAAAGTATTTGGTTGTGGTCCACTTTAATACTTTGTGGAAAGTGGGTGGGTGGATGATGGTGGGAGAACAAATGGATAAAATTCTAAGAAATGTTTCTGGCTTGATGTTTGATTGGCATTGTTGGCAAAGTATATTGTACATATTGAATAATTTAGCCACGTGCACTTTGTATTGCTCTCTATATCCATATATTTTGTTTCTAATGCCCTTTTGCTTGATTCAGATCAAATTTATCAAATTTATTTATAACATAGTGCAAAATGTTTGGTGCAAACACTGCCTAACAGCAAGGACCTTGTAAACAGATGTCAAACATGATGTTGGAGGAGGGCTGATGACTTGAGCCCATTTTGCAACTGCAGATGTTGAGGCTCCTTGCAATTTCAGCATTATGCATAAAAATCAGTATTTAGAACTGAAATATGATGCCCTTTGTTGAAATGATGAGCTTTCATTTAAATTGGACTTTTCCTGCTTTAGAATACTTTTCAACATTAGATTATTTTAATTCTTTTAACCTTGATTAAAAATTTCTCATTTCGCCTATTCTGTTACATTTTATACGTAACTGCATGTTGTGTTTTGTGTTTGACACACTTAACACCATTGCTTCAAGGCCAGAATTGAACTTTTTTGACCATATCCTTCAGTCAGTGTTGTAGTGTTATATTTGATCCTGTTCTGTCCATGTCCTCAACTCTTACACATGTGGAACAGAGACGACGGCTTTAGATGACATGCTCTCTTGACTTAATTTCCTTCTCTAAGAGACAGAAATTTTTGAAGGACGTAAAATGTATGGAGAGGCTTTGACAGATAGGTAAGGTAAATTATGGCATACTCATATCTCTGTCCTAGTCCAAGTAACTTAAGTCCTGACCTCTGGTATCTATGTCTGAATACATTTGATTTTGTTTGTGTAATCTTTTCAAGAAAGGTTTGCATGTGCTCTCCTTACGGAATGCAAATGTATTCAGAAAAAAATATAACTGTTCAAGTAACAGATGTCTTCCCTTTAAAACTGAATGCACTTTGTGTTGGTGCTGTCACAGTTTGTATTAAAATCTCTATGAAACAGTGGAGTAGCAAGACATTTTCAAAGCAACTTTTCATGTGCCAGGATGTGTGCTTTTGTGTGTGCCTGCAGCTTGAATATCGTTCATGGTTTTGTGTAGGCATTGCTGCAGGTCAGTGCTACCGTTAATTATTGATAGAAAAAGCTTAGCGCATGTGCTGGCAGAAACTGTTGCCTAGCACAAGCTTCAGCTTGCCAGAGACATCTGCAAGAGAGACAGTGAAAACAAGTGGGAGAAAAAACAAACATTGGAGATTCATGCCGAAAAGGGTGATCGAGACTAATTCATTCGTCCTAAACCTGAAGGTGCCTTCTACTACTCGCTAGCAAACAGAAAAAGGACACGATACAAACCTGGCAGAAAAATCCGTCCTGCCTCTTGGTATAGAAATCATCCTTTGGCGAGTATAGCATCAGGGACTAGACAAGAGATCATAGGAAAAGTTTTATTGACTCTCTATGGAAGCACAGCAATGGATTTTATAACATTCCTAAAGAAACCACAACCTGAGGAGCAAAAAGGAAGGAGCCAGTGAGATTTATCAGTGTTTCTTTGCAAGTGGCTTTCAAGCTGTGGGTGTTAGAAAAAGCTAAAGATGATGAGCCGCCAGGCTTGCTTTTACCGGGTCCCTCCCCCGGAGCTCCATCGGCGTAACCAGCTCCAGGCTGATCCGGCTAAGACCAGAACTCTGCAAACTGTCATTGATATGAAGGTAGGACTGAGCAAATCTACAAGAAGGCAATATTTTCAGTGATAGTATCCCACTTCTCAGCTGTTCAGTAGTTCATTAGTCTGTTCTCCTCTTGGCAGTGAGTGAGGTTGTTTTCTTTTTCTTTTCTTTTTATTATCTGTGACAGCAGTTCACTTCTGTTGCATGCTCCTGCTTCAGCCTGAATAGAGTAGAAAATCTGCATTGACTTCAAATGCCAATGCATACAGTGCATGCATTGTATCCTGATTATCAGTTAAATTAATATCATCCTATCGTGCCTTACTATAGTCCCAATACCCAAAGTCCAATATTGGCCCATGCAGAGTTAAGCACTTATTCAATTTGTTTCAAATGTCACATATGGAAGCTTTCACTCTCATCTCAGCCTTTAGAAGCTGTTACTGCTGTGAAAAATGCAGTTGACTCCACATGTGTCTTTGAGTAATCCCCCCCCACACACAATTTAGTGTTCCTTCAGCAAAGCACTTGTTCCAAAAGTGATTTCCCTACCTCAAAGCCACAGTTATTTTTTACACATACTTTGTGACTTTTCCACCTATTAAGAGCCCAGCAGGGTTGTACACAGAAAGCAACCAGAAATAGCAAATAGAAAAGGTAAATCTGGCAGAGTTATTTGGAAATATAAGCAGAAAGGCCCCCCGAGACACTTGAAGCGAAAAAAAAAAAACAAAAAAATGCAATGATGCTAGTAAAAAACTTACCTCGTTTAACCAGCTTATAAAAGTTCCTTTATATCTGACCTTTCTTTGTTTTAGTCTTTACTGTGCTGCTTGTTTTAAGATGTGCAAATTTATGCTTTGTAATTGCAGAACACGAACGCTTCTTTCTGTTTTGATCCTGATGTTATCTGGCAGGTACTGTATTGGCGCTCGTGTTTATGTTTTAGTTCATTTGACATAGACAACTGTTTTCTGTTACTTTTAACCTCTTTCCCTAATTCTTCTGGGTTGTGGTGTAGCAGTGTCATCTACCATTGCTTTTTTTGTGTGTGGATATTTTGGAGTTCAACTTTAAATGGACAGCCATCCTTCTGTATGTCAAGTTAATTTTAGTAATGAGCAGTTTGTCTTTGCTGTGTCTCTTATTTATTTATTTATTTTTATCTTCCAATGGAAGTTGGACATATAATATATAATGCAGAGAGCATAGCTAGTGTGTTGCTGTTTTCCTGGCTATCCAAAAAGCTTCTGTCCAACTGTACACTAATGTTTGTTTCAGTAATGTAATATGGACCTTTATGTGTTCTTACTTGCTCTGGCCATGTGCTTTTAGAAACGTATGCATCACAGTGTGGTTTGCAGGGCTGATGTCAGAGGATGTAATAGTGGTCAAATTGCTACATCTCTGCCTGTGGTTTGTGCTGATGGCACTGTGCAATCTGCTTCCAGTTACTTAATTATGTTTCTCTTCTTTTTCAAGGTTTAGAGTTTAACGCTTGTCTAAATCCATGCAATTATACAAGCTCAGGACCTTTCCTTGACAGACCGTTCAATCATGGATACTCATTTATTTTTTGTGTTGAGCCGTTCACAGATGTATACATTCATCTTTGATTTTTTTTATTTTGATTTTTTTTAAGCTATTTTTGCTAAAATTTTGATATGATACTGGGCTGGACAATTGTGATCACGAATTACATATTCATTTTTGGCTTTAATGATTTCATTTAAGTTTTTTTTTGTTTGTTTGTTTTACAGGGTTTAATGATTATACAACATCTATAGTGGGTTTATGTAAACCTGTTGTGCCATTTGAATTCATGATTAGTTTATATAAAGCAACTATTCGGACCCCTTCTGACGTCTATAAATAAACAACCTAATATTGGTCATATTTCTGTTTGGAAAAACATTATCCATATGCTTTTTGCTACTGTTTTATCCTTAAGGGTGATTTCAACTCGTTATCCTCATTGCTCTCTTTGTATAAAAGTTTCAGGTCCAAATCACTTTGGATAGTTTTCATCTTAGACTGTTCTGCGATCAAATCTTATGCCTGAGCCATATTCCTGCTGGTGTATTAGTAGTTGCCAGTTTCTGACTCTGTGCCAAAAATACCTTTGCTGGTGCAGGACACCAAGATCTCTTCCCTGGAGAGAAACATCAGAGACTTGGAGGATGATGTCCAGATGCTAAAAACCACCGGCCTGTTGCACCCTAATGAAAGGCAGGATGAACTCAAGCAGGTGGAAGTCTACAAGAGCCACTCTAAATTTATGAAAACTAAGGTAGAATCTCTTTGCATGCCACACCAGCCGGCGTCATGCTGCATGATTTGAGTGATGCATGTTACATCATCAGTGCATGAGCACTTGTTTATAAGCATGCCATATTTCTCTAATATATGTTAATTTTTGGCTTCTTTTGAGGTACTGTCTTGCCATTTTATGATGTATTGAAAATCATGTTTTATGTGGGAATTGATGTGAAGAAATGAAACACATTTTGTGAAACATTATGTTTTGTGATGTATGGAGTATGTATAGTATATCCAGTGTTTATTGGGTAGAGCTTGACGAACCTCCTGCCTTCAGAACTTCATTTCATTGATGTTATGTATCTGGAACATGCCATCGATATTTTGGTCCAAATTGGCAAACATCATGTTGTTCCATCATCCATCATCCATGATGTGACTCTTTTGTTTTACCAGATTGTACAGGATGGATGACTCTACCATGGAGCCCATTGGTGTACAAGAAACTTAAGAATACAATTTGAGATTGTTAATGCCTTTTTGATTCAATTAAATTCAAATTTAGCAAATACTTTGTTCATTCTAAAGATATATGAAATGTTGCTGCAACCCATGTTCTCCAAGTTTCTTTTAAAAGTCTCTGTAGATATTTCTGGCTGTGGGTAAGAGTGATCTCCAGTAGTTGTCTGTTTTAGTGAGCACCTCTGACTGAAGATACACTCTTGAGGTGTAGCTGTCTTTTGAATAGGACACTCAGCATTTTCTAGCTGGAGGTCAGTAGTGTAGCATTTAGGCAATACTCGGTCAGCTGAAATGGGCCCAAAGTGTGCTAAGGAAATATCCCACCACTATCCTACCCTCACCAATCTAAATCACTCATGCAAGGGTGAACGGATTCATGCTTTCATGTTATGTACATTAAATTCTGACCTTAATGTCTAAACTGTTGCAGCTGAAATAACTTAACTGACCAGGGAATATTTTTTAAATTCACTGTTTTCCAATTTTTGATGAGGCTATGTGAATTGCAATCTCTCTTTCATTGCCTTTTGTTGTCATCTTCAAGGTTTAACACATTGAATGTTCTTATTTGGTATTGCCCATACCTTAGTTGTAACAAGTAGATATTTGAACAAATGTTGCTTTTCTTTCTCCTCACACCAGCTGTACTAATTCTCTTTTGTGGTCTGCCATTGGTAAGGACTCTTTGTCCAAACAACTGCCACTCACTGATGTTTCTATATTCCCAGTAGTTCAGCAGTTTCTGAAATTACATGTTCAGTCACTTAAATTCTTTTTCTTTCCCTATTCTGAGGTTCGGTTTTAATTTCAGCAGGCGAATTGCATGGTGTGTGTACCAATGTTTTCAATGGCTTCTGTGCATTGGAATGAAAGGCCTAAAGCCTTTCATTAGGCTGGATTTGAGGTAACCTCAAAACCAGCCTCTGTTTCAAAACACCTGAGTCAAATAATCAGGACAGCTGTTTGATAAAGGTGTTTTGAAGTAGGGGCACATCTAAAGGTTGGTGAGCGCCAGCCCTTGAGACCTGGATTTGAAGAGCCCTGGTCTAAAGTATGCACGGTGCTACTGAAGACAGAATCAGTTCACACTGACTGTGAAGTCAGTGTCAGGTTTTACGGTTTCCAATAATTGTGAGGTGAAAACTTTAAGTTTGCCAGTATTAGTCAGTTCTCATCAGTGCATGCATAGCACTGAATAGTATACTCTGAGATTAATTATTGAGCAACTGCTGAGACACTTGAGCAGAGCGTGTGCAAGTTATGCAACAGTGGCACAAATATTTAATGATTATGGTATCTCTGGTTTATGCTAAGGATTTTTTTGTAACTTTCCCTAAAAGAAACTGTAGCTGGTATAGCTAGTGACCGTTATATATCCTATATTGTCAGATTCATTAAATATGATTCTGGGAAGTAAGTCTTGGTATTCCTAAGAAACAGACAGGAGGCAGATACACAATAATGTGTGTGTGTGTTTGTGTGTTTTTGGGGGCGAGAGTAGTATCAGGTCTCTCCTGTTTAAAGTGATAACACGTTTGATGGAACACACTCATGAACTATCGGCTTTCTGTGAATCATGCTGTTCTGCACATAAGAAAGGGTTGAGAAAGATTCCTCTTTACATGGCTGACTGCTGATTTTCTACTTGCATTCAAATGTGCACTGGATGACATACGCAAAATTAAACAGACACTAGAGTATTTTGGAGATTCCATAGGTTGGAGAGGTCGCTTGGTGGAAAATAAATCTTTGGAGAGTGTAGAATGTGTCATCAGTTTATGTATCTGTAGCAGAAGGCGCACTATGTGAAACATGTTTAAACGGATAAATGTGGCCTCTGGTTTAAGATGTTTTCAGTGGTCTATCACACTGAAAAAGCATGTTATTAAAGCAATCCATTTAACATATGGTCAGAATCCTTGTTTGGAATTAGGTCTCAAGTTTCACAGAGTTTCTGTCCATATGGCCGTGATGGCTATTTATTCTACTTTGATGGCTGAGGCCGATGAATCGTGCTACATGTGAGAAGGTTTCTCTCGGACTCATTAATGGTGCTCTTTGTATGGGCCCGTTTGTCATTGCATTGGGGGAAGTTCCAGATGCAATCATAAAAGAGATGTTTTTATGAATGGGGCTCTGACAGATGAATGTGAGCTTACAACGGCAGAGGAACGGAGAAGGGGAGTTCTCTCTTCACCCACGATATACATCACAGTGATGGCTCTAGCTTGCTTTTGGGTGTCTCATCTTTCTGCGTACAGTCACACAGAGACACGGAAAGTTGCCACACATGCAGCATTGCACAGATTCATTCTATATCCTTGAAGTGTTTGGGTTCCTGGTGTTTCAGCTGTGGTGGTGACTGCCATTGAGGTGCGACTGTTGTTAAAGAAACCGGAGAAGTCATCGTCCCTGTCTTCCCTGTTTTCCTCTCTGGACTTTGATCTGGTCAAACGCTATAAAACTATTGAGTAACACAGTTTGAGTTCTTTAAGTGGCCAAGCTACTTTTGGAGAGGTTTACTTCAAAAGTCTGAGCTGTGTGATTCAGAAGATTGTATCTGCACACACAATTAGACTTTTAGCTTAGTAGTTGCTGTCATCTTGTCTCTGTGTTTCTGTAGGAGCAGACATTGTCACCATGTGTGTCTTCCATCAGACCAACTCCTACCTTCCTCATGCCCACTCAACTGCCTTGGATCACAGAACAAGAAGAAGTACTCATTTTATTAGCCTCTTTACTGTTAGATCATTTCCTTCATTGGCTAATGTTTAAAATATCTGCTTTCCGTTTTAAATTTAAACATCAAGTCTTGTGCTTCCTCTCTGAATAATTTTTTGCTCTTCATGTTTCACCCTGTCACCTCTCTGAGGTCGCCTGGCAAACATTTTCCTAATTCCACAGTTTACTGTGCCTCTGTTTTACCTTCATGGGTCCTTGGGGATCATTCTGTGCCTACAGGTTTTTACACGTGGTGTGGTTCAGTTTGACTTTCATTTTTATGTGGTGAACTCTGCAGTTTGAGAAATCTCACTTTTAAAATGACTTTGTGCAGCTCTGGCACCAGCCAGATTCCAGTACATCAGACTACTCAGCAGAGAAACCTCCCTTTGTTGGTGGATTTGATTTGCTGTGTGGTGTTACAGTATCTATGACTTTTGTAAGCCAGTCAATCTGTTTCCCTTGATGACTTTCTGCTTTTCGGCTGTCCAGCTTAGCATTTGAATACAGCTGAACATGTACTCCCGAGTAAGGTTGTAATAACATTATAATACTGAATGGCAATAACATAATTTGAGACATTGTGTTTTTAAAATTCCTGAGTGTTGTAATAAATAGATTTTTTCTTTAAAGTTGAGGGTAAGCTTTGGAAAATATATTATGCCCTTCCCCTTCATTCAGAAATCACTAAAATTAGATTTTTTAAATGTAAAAAATGTATTTTGTTTTGTGTGATTATCAGATAGAGCAGCTGAAGCAGGAGCTGAACAGGAAGGACTCAGAGATGCAGGCCCTGCAAACCAAACTAGAAACACTGACCAATCAGAACTCGGACTACAAGCAACACATCGAGGTGCTAAAAGAGTCGCTCGGTGCCAAGGAGCAGCGCGCCAACACACTGCAGACAGAGGTGAGTGTTTCCACATTACTTAGTGCAAATAGAATGTAAATGCTGATATGCACAGGTTTCTGCAACAGAAACAAAAACACTTCTAGAAAGAAAACTTCATAATGCTATGTTACTAATATATTAAGATCTGGAAGAATTGGAAGTAATTAGTTATCAGCAGCATATGTTAATATTGTGCTGTCATATTTTACTGGTTGTTTCTTTTAAGTTAAAATGTATTATTTAGGGAAAATCCTATGTTTGTTCATGCAAAATTAGAGGTGAGACAGTGACATGGTTGAATTTGAGATGCTTCAGGGTATTTTGGTCTGACAGAAACAAATTGTATATGTAAACAGTTTAAGGTCTCTCAACTTTTTCCACAAGCCTTTCTGCTTCTCTTATGGGCATACAGAGGTGGGTGGAAAGCTATTTTCTACACCACCACATTTGTACATGTGGGTGGGTCAGTCAGCAGGCTGAAGAAAACTGGCAGCTTTTGCTCATGTTTGAAGTGTTAAAGGCTCTTTACCTTTAATAATTTTATCACCAGTTTAGGGGGGAAAAGGGTTTGAGTGTGGAGTGGTGGAGAAGCATGAATGTGAAATGTTTGTGTTGAGTGTGTATTTGACCATTTTGCATTTTTTTCGTCTGTCACCCTCTTGACTTGAAACTGATACTTCATATCTCAGTGTTTGGCAGTTGAGAGCAGCCTGCTAACTATGTCCACTCTTCATCGCAGGAAGCAATTTGACCCAAAATTAGGCTTAATTGTTGATACATGTGCAAAGGATTTCAGCTTTTGCTCTTTGCTGAATACATCATACTTAAAATAAATACTTTTCAGTGGGTGGTTTTCTATGTGTTCGTGGTTACCAGCCTTAAAAGCAACGTTGCAATTTCAAGAAATGTTTCGTCACCATGACAAAATTTTGCTCTGGAGACACCTGGTGCACTGAGACTTATAATTGTGAATTCTTCAAAAAGTATTCATCCATCATTTTGTCTCTGCACAGCTTTTTCCAATCAGCCATTCAGAATGTGGTCACGAAAAGGAGCAGGTGTGTTGAGATGAAAATAAAGGCCAACTTTGAAGATATATCTAGTTCCTGTTCAGAGATTTTAAATGGAGTTGAAAGCGGGGACATTACAATCCCTTTTCACGTCATGCTCATGCTCACTATTTTTCTTTCATGATTTAGCTAAAGTACAACATTAGAGCCAGATTATGACACTAGTCATTATCCCTCCAAGGCCAAAGCTCTCACCTGCCACCCAACATGCAAGGCACCTGATCCCATCATTCCTTTCTGCAGGTGGTGCTCACAACGATGGGGCTTCCTGAGGCTTCTTTGGGTTGAGCCCAATCTCCAAGAATTACATCCATCCATCCATCCATTTTCTGAACACCCTTGTCCCTCAGTGGGGTCGGGAGGGGTGCTGGTCCAAGAATTACAGTCATATGAAATTAGTATTTGATCTTGTTTCTACAACAAGTTTATTCTATCAGAGAGAAAAGTTAGGACATGCTGTGGAAAATATCTTGCGTACAGCCCTGGTCCCAGGAGCTTCTATTCTTTAGTACTGTGAGCTTTATAAGTCTTTGGATCATAGTCATCTAAGCTTTATAGGTATTTTTTTTTAATTTTTTATATTGACCCAACTCTGTCTGTCATCATTGTATTGCATGATCGCAATATCACTTTTTTGAACCCGGCAGAATACATTTTATACACATAAAAGAAACCTAAATTGTGAAAATGTTACACAAAGAAGCCCCAGGTTGTCAAGCAATGGAGTTTATAGTAAAGTAAGGTAAAATATATTTTCCTTCATTGTTTTAACTGGAATTTATAATGAGAAAAGAAGTGCTGTAGAGCCAGCTGTCACCCCAGCAGTCCTTTTGTAAACCTTATAAAGCTGCTAAGAAAATAAACTGCCTACATAAGGAGGATAGACTGTTCATATTTTTGTAGTTTCATGGCACAAAGAATGTCTTCCCACCACCTCTCGTGTTTTTGTCAGATAGTCACATTGTTTTGTTTTGCTAGGTTGGATCAACACCGTTACAATTGCAGTTGTATTCACACTATATTCTCCATACCCTTTCTCATTTGAAAAAGATGTCTATTTGATTTAACTTTTTTGGCAAAATGTTTTTGAAAAATTCACAAATTTGACATGCTGTACTCTAAATGTTACATAACTTTTACTTAGTGGGACCAGTTTTGAGTATTATCATTATGATAATACCAGAACTGGAATAAGGATAAGTGTTACATGTTCTAGGATATCATTGAATATGTTTCTTTGAGGTTTGGCCTGCGATTTCAGGGTAAGAAGAGAAACAGGTAAAATAATTCTGATTTGGGTGCATCACAGCATTCTTTGCCATTTCTTCTCACTTCTCTTAGGCCACTGCTGAGGAGCTGTAATTAGATTCAGATCACAAATACACAAACATACAGCTGTGCACACACAACCCCATAAGCACAGAAAAACACGTTGTCAGGTCTGATTACTTGCTTCTCATCTCCGGTCCCATATAATTTTTCTTGCTATTGAAGTGGCATTTCTTCCCCCCACTTTGGAATGACTCGGGTTTCCTCAACTAAGTGGGCAAGCTGGAGGATGACTAAAGATCTTTAGTGTGCTGTAGTTGGCCAGTTGTTGGAGTGCATTCCTCTGCTGCCTGTCAGTCATTCAGAGGGAGAACAGCCATTCTCCCAGGATTCCCTTCTCATTCAGTACTTGCATCCAGTCACAGTAGTACTGTAGTACTGGATCTTCAACTTTCAGACCAGCCTTTTCAAAGTTACAAACTTCTGCCTTAAACATATTTAAAAAAAAAAAAAAAAAAGTGTACGTTGTTCATTTAGCTGACTTTAACCATGATAGCTAGTGACTGAAGCCAAGCTGCTTTTTATCGGAGACACTGTAAAAGCTGTTCCCATCAGAGATGGTTGATGGTTGGCCTCAGAACAGAGAAGCCACTGTATGCAAAGGAATGAGAAAATGGATGCATATTTATTTGTCAGTCAAAGTTAAGGACAGCCTCTAAATGGGTGTGATTGAGTCTGTCTTCAGATAACTGGAAAATGTGGAAAATAATGAGCGTACACTTTTGTGGGAGCTGTGTTGGTCTGCCAGAGTCTGTGGAAACTTAACCCTTTAATACAGTAAGATGTGTATGTGCCTCTCATGCCCTGAACAGGACAATGCAGCGCTGTAATGATACTCTACCAGATCAGGTAGCCTGTCGGAGACCTTCCTGCATATTTAACAAACCCTGAGAACAAAAGAACATCTCAGAGCTACACTGCCAGAACAGTTTGACCTGGTTTCAGATTTCAGCTCAAAGATTGTTTTACATATGACAACTATTTGTAGAAGATTGTCTTCAAGGATTGTAAGTTTGACTTACCTCATGTTTACTGATAATGAGACCTTTGTAGGTATATCTGCCCATCTTTTCTGTATATATTATTTACCCTTCATATTTGAAAAGCAACTACGTTGTTACAACAATGCTGTTGTTGATGCAAGGACTAATATAAACTTCGAACATCTCAAACAATAGAAATTCCTTTTAATTTACAGGTTCATTTTATAAACCTGGTATTTTTGCAAGCAGTCACTCACTGACAGAAATACAAGACTTGCATTTGACTCAAGATGTCATCAGAGTCTGAGCCAGCGACATAAATAACTCAGGAAGGAAGCATTTAAGCTTTTGCTTCTAACTGGAGATACAAATAAAATGGAATAAAACATGCTTAATGTTCTTCTTAGAGAAATATCTCTTTTTGTTTTTTTTTTACATGGTGCTTACACACCATGAACGCGCCATACAGGACAGATGTGGTACAGAGTTCAGCAGTAATGCTATTGGTGACAAGTTCTGTTTTCAAAGTATTCTTGTAGAGTTTTTCTTGTTTCATTTCTAGAATTTTGAAAATTAGAGTTTCATTAAGGTTTGTGAAACCTATATGAGTGTTAAAGAAAAAAAAACATATCTCCCTGAGTCTCTTGCAATCTGTTGTTTTTGCATTAATTATGTTGATATTTCCTCTCAATGTTCCAATGTGACTTTGGTGCTCTTGTGTTCACTCTTTCATCACTAGCATTTCCTGTGTGTCTGCCAGAGGACACACTCTACACTCTACTGAGTTTTGTTTTTGAGGTTGAAATGCAATGACTCGAAAAAGCTATAAATGAGTCGAATAATTTGCTAACATTGACCACAGTGACAGTGATGAATATCAAAAACAAGAAGAGAATTAAAAAAAAAAAAAAAAACGTGTGAGAGGGAATAATTCACAGACTGATGGAGCGACAAGAGGAAGTGAAAGTGAGATGTTTGAGCAGCTTAATAGATGGAGGTGTTTGTAGGCGTTTGTCAGGGAATTATGCAATGGTACAATATACTGTGGTCCCTGCTGGTCTATTATTGTTGATCTTTCCTTGTTCTCTCTGCTGATTGATGGTTCATATTGCTAGTGAGGCAGAGAAAAGATGTGGTTTCAACCTGGTTGTGGTACACCATGGATTGTGCCCCTGGTGTGTTCTTTCTTCTGGCCTCATTTGTTTTTGCTTCTCCCATCCAGATTGTCTCCACCTCCATCTGGTTCTCTCCCAATTTCTACAATATTTGTTCTTCTTGTCTCCCCATAACTAACCCACAGCTGTTTACAATATTAGAATAACAAGCAGATAGAAACTGAAGCATAGGTGAGAGCTTTCTAAAATGAAAATGGACTTGTAGATTGAGGTTGGAAAACTTCTGTTCTGTCTTTAGCTAAGGTTGACCACTAATGATAAGTTGCACACTGAGTTCTGGAGCTCTTCGAATGAGTCCCAAGTGTTGAGGGGCAGTTTTAACATGACTTCATTCAAATTTGCCAGACCATGGTCACCGTTCTCAGGCCCAACTGCATGATTTTGAGTTCTTGGATTGGTGTGGTTTGGAATTTAGTGTGAATAGCACACCACTGAGCTGACTAGAACAAACATGGTACGGT